CTTTCGATTTTTATACAACTTCATAAAACAGAATTTTTGTGTATTCAAACATTTTTTTATTATCTATGATTTGCAATGTGTCTACTTTGTGAACATATATAGTAATTGTTTTATCATATGTCTTATCTTTCACAAGTTTTTTTTAGAAGGTAACCCAATGGCTGTTTTTTCTGGATTTGACGATATTTTTTATAATTCAAACTAGTGATTTGGACCTAATTTGCAGCAATGTAGAACATTAGATACATGTATATTTACATGTAATACTGGACTGCTTGATATCAAGCTGCATTCAAAGTATGATTGGGCGTGGAACTTAGATCCACAACGGCTTCATACACATTTTGAAAGATTACATTTTGGAAGATTCGGCTCGACACCCGACAGCAGACTATCATGTTTTAAATACTTAGCTAAAGCTTAATTTGCGGAAATCTTACGAGAAGGATTGTTCAAGTATAAAAAACACTGAATTAGTCAAAACGCGCTAGAGTTATCAAATTTCAAAACGATTTGGGGATATAGGTAAACGTGATCTCATCAAGTATAATCTTTCAAACGATAGAATATACCAGAACTTTATTGATCCAACGTACTACTAAAATATAGAATTGATGCGCAACAATATATATACCTCCTATATCAGCAATATAGGTTCCAAAGATTTACCCATTCAATTTATAATCAACAAATTTTTACGCTTTACTTACATTAGAAAATTAATCTATTGTCGAAAGTATACATTTTAACATATAAATTGAAGTCAAAACAAAATTATGCATAATATTTTTGTATAATTGCTGTTGTGTAATCGCACACACACACACACACACACACATATATATATATATATATATATATATATATATATTTATTAGAAATTTTTTAAGGTAATAAATGAAGATGAATTAATCAGAGAAATGAATAAAACATAATAACTTGGAATGAATCCGAGCAGAACGCTCCACAAATTTACTCCAGTATTAAGCTCTACTAACCGTAGCCGTAGAAGTCATTCTTAATTAGGCAGCGAATTGATTCATAGCTACTTATGGTTTAAAATAATCGATGCGTAAAAGCAGTTACTATTTAAATATGTAAATACGGCAATTTATCCCAACTTATTTAGCAAATATAACATGGCAGTAAACGTAGGGTAGAGCGGGGCTAGTTGAGCATAGGGGCAAGTTGAGCAATCGAAATATCTCGAAAACTATTTACCGTCCGTTAAGGCATTATATGGCAGAAAGATAGAGGTTTGGGAGAAATAAACAACCCGCGATCGCTAGTGGTCGCTGGACAAATGAGTGAGGCTCACGGGCGTTATGTTTATTTTGAGATCAAAAAATAAAAAACTTATTCATCACGAGTTTTCGTCTGGTTTAGTCAAATGTTATGTATTTTTAATCAGGTAAATGTTATTATTCCATGTAATTATAGTACTTTTAATATGCACAGAGATTCTGGGTATAATTCTCAGGTTTTTTTTATAAACTTACTTTTATTTTAAAATTCCGAGTTGGGGTTAGTTGAGCATAGTTGCTAAACTTGTTCTCTCACTAAGACAATTACCATTTACTTCCAGAAATTAACTATTGTTTTTAAGATTTAAGCTAAGTCTATGAGTAATAATATAAAAAATAATGATTTTAAACAAAAATACTGAATATAATGGTAAAATAATTCCTAAGATACGATATTGTTTTGTTGATTCTACTTTTCGTTAATTATTCAAAGCAAATTACTATAAGATTGGTTTTCTCTGTCAATAAAGACTATAAATATAGAACTGGTTAGTAAAAACTTATTTTATTTCATCACTAATCGACATTGAACTTATAATTTCATTAGTGCTCCCACTATACTTTCTTAGTGCTCCCACAACTTGCCCCGCCTATGGGGTACATTGAGCATACTTGAATTTTTGTATTTAAACAGCTGTAGCTTTCAAATTGTACTTATTACCAAAAAACAGTATTAACACTTTTGTTAAGCAACAAATTTGATAAACAACAAATCCATTAAGCCGTATAGCAATTATTGAGACTTTTCATTGAGGAGCTACATCCGTTTAAGTAAAAATTTACTCAACTAGCCCCGCCCTACCCTATATATGTACAGTATTATAAAATGGTCCCCCGTAAGTTAAAGTTGGAAACATTTGTTTCTCTTTTATCAGAGTGTTATATGAACTCAAATATGGCGAAGAATAACTAAATATCGTTAGACGCGATAACTAACCGCTATCTCCAAAACCTGAATGATAACCTGAACACATATTTCTCTACTCGGTAGCCATTACCCTTAATTACAAGTGGAGGTTAGTAGCTATACGAATGAAACAAGATTAACTTTATTACTACATCCTATTTAATAAATATGAATCACTCATTTGTATTGAATAACTTTTCAGTGTAATTTAAGGAGACCATATGTTTCTAAAGTCAAACACCTGGAGGGCAATTTTTAGTTAAGCTAATCTGGACCGGGGGCGGTGTATTTAAACTAACAAATGATATTTGAGGATATAATAAAAAACAGTTTTTTTTATTGTAAGAACTTCATTATTCGATTATATGTAATTTTTTTTCTATGATATTACATTACTTTTTATATTTTTCGATCCTTGTTTTTTACGTTTTCGAGCCTTGTATAAAATTCTATATAATTTTCTTCATAATTAATTTGAAAAAAAAATTTTTTTTCTTCTTTGTTTTTATAATTAATGTTTTTTTTAACTATTAATTTTTGAAAAGCCGGGACAATCCAGGACAAAAGATTTAAATCCGGGACAAATATTGCTTTTAGAAAAACCAGGAACACAAGGTGAAATTTGGCATATGAAATCCATACGGACTATTTTTTAAATAAAAATGTATTATAGTTAAATTTGCATCCGCCCACACACACGCTTATATAATATTTTATGCCAAAAAGCTCAGAAACCTTTGAAAATTTTCATTTTCAACTTTTTTGCGATTACTTCATAATACCAACAATAATATTATTAATAATAATGACAATAGTAATTATAATAATATTAATAATATTTACATGAATAATAATGATAATAGTGGTAACTATATTAATCATTAAAATAATAATAATAATAACCTAAATCAAGTTTAAAATTAATCCAGCTCATGCACCTAACGCTGGGAAAGCACTCCATTATTATTGTTGATAATTTTATTATCATCATCGTGCCGAAAAATGGCTATGACTAATAATAATGGAAGATCTATCTCCACACATATTGCACAACAAATTAAATAAGAATGATTCAATTAGATGTGTAACAAATAATTTATGCATACATGCAAATTCATTCTTGCATGAATCAACTATTATCAACAAATAAAAGTTTCGCATAACAGATTCAGAATAACGCATAACCGTAAGTGGTTTATTTGATACTTTTATATGAGAAAACAATAATGAGATAAAATGAATAAAATTTTCATTTCTTTTATTAAAGGTTTGATTTATAATTGACATGTTAACAAGAAATTGTAAAACAACCACAAGCGGCGTGATGTGAATGAAGTTTATAGTTTATGATCTACATCTAGTAAAATCCTGCATGAAATTTAGATTTACATTCGATCTGAAGAATTTATGTTATCATTAACTTAATGATAATGTAATGGATAATGTAATGAGAGTAGTTCTATATTTCATATTTTGTGTTTATGAACGTACATTGAAAAATAAAAAAATTGATTCGTAAGGCTATAAGTATCGTATATAACTCAAGGGGTTATTCTAGTGTAGAAATTCAGAAAAATCGATTTTTTTTATTTCATATTTTCAAAGTTTAACTATCTAATAATATGAGTACGAGAAGGTTTTTGAAAATTTGAATTATTTCCGGAGATACAGGCATTTTACTGACTCGGTCTCCAAACTGGTTTGGCAGGGTCTAATTGGACAAAAGGCATTAGGAAGTCATTAAAACAATTTAAGACAGTTTATCGTCGGATGAATTATTAATTCGATGTATAGTAATCTCTAAACTCGTTGATTTGGATTTTCGCGCCGAAACATATTCATTCCCGATCTCGGGTATTTGAAAAGCAACAATTATTGCTGTTTGCATATTCAATGAAGGTTTCTTTCCGATTTTAAAAATGATGACCCTTATGGGCCAGAAACTCATTCATTCGCTGTAAGACGAGACAATTCCCGGATTGAACCATCTGAAATACGTACATCCAACTCTTCAAAGGAGGCTAGAACTGCTCGATTGGAAGAGAGAAATGCAGAAAATAGTTTTTTTTTAAGTAGAAGAAGGTCCGTTGCATAAAGCAGGAATGGCAGATTAAATAAAAAAAAGTATAACATATCGTTTTCTGACTTTGACAGCTAAAAACTTCACGCAAAACTTTATATGCATTTTTCTCAGAACAGACTTTTTCAGTACTGTTGACACGATTCCTAAAGTTCTAATCGACCGATTCACTTGAAATGTTCAGAGAGTCTTGTTTATAGACCTATCTATAGCCCGAACTAGCATCATCTCCCAAATTACAATTTTTACTAAAATTATAATATTCGAGAAACTCAAAAAAAAAACAGCAAAAAGAGACACTTTTTTTCAAACAGTCGCCAATTTGTAAAATAAAATATTTTTTACTCATCGCTAGTTCGGGCGATTGAGACATCATTGTAGATTAATAATCTTTTTATTTCTTTTATTTCGGATGGCTAGGAGGGTTGAAATCATGTCAAGACTCATGTGCCAATTTTTTAAGACCTCCCACTTCATCAGCTGCCAGTTTATGCAATTTTCAACTTTATTTTTTAATTTTTGTATTGTATTTTAATAATATTAATAAACAAGTGGTAAAAATGTATAGTAAAAACATTCATTGCTTTCTTTTACGACACTTTAAAAATGACCTAAAACTCATCGCTCCATACTAGAATACTCCCTTAACAACACATTTTTTTAAATATGCTGGCTTATATTCAGCTCATGAAAATTTAAAAATTCTATATTGGCAACACTAACATTTTTATTGTTAATTCACTTTATACATTCGTTCGAATAAAGTAAATAAATAAATAAAACAAAATATTTGCATGAATCACAAAGGATTTATTATACTAAAATCTAAACTATATTTTTGGTGGAACATTTGTTCATATAAGGAAATTAAAGACCAGTTTTTTTGCGAATGAACTCTCTAATGCTAGAAGCAGCAACTTTAGCGTATACTCCTGGCATGTTTGGTCTGGCACAACCATTTCCCCAAGAGACGACTCCGACCAGATTTTTGTTTTCGTCCACAAGTGGACCACCGCTGTCACCCTGGCAGGAGTCCTTGCCACCTCTTCTAACTCCGGCACACAACATGCTAGAAATGGAAATAAAATGAGCGATTTGGTTTTACAATATGTGATGAATATCTAACTGTTATTAATTTTAGTATAAATATAAATTTTCCACAGCTTACTTTTCGGTGATATCTTTTCCTGCAAAGACGTAGCTGTCAGAGCATGTATCTTGGTCCACATAAGGCACTTTTACTCCTTGTAGATTTACTGGCTTGGGTCCTGATTCCTGCAATGCCCATTAGTAATGTAGTGATTTTAACTTATATTGTTTTCAGTGGTAACAGCAAAATACCAAATCGAAAAATTAATTGTATTTTCTCAACTTACACTTAATTTGCCCCATCCAGTGACGGTGAGCCGGGCACCATCATCAACCTCGTGATCTTCGTCAACCAATTTAACTTTGCGAACGCTCCTGCCGTTTAGTTTAAATTTGGTTTCAACTTTCAGGAGTGCGACGTCATTGTCGTAGCTGACCGTGTCGTAGTCTGGGTGAATGTGTACCCTGGAAATTCTGTGAAGGACTCCACCTTTGTTGCGTAAACTGCTTCCGACACGCACTCCATATTGCTTTGGCGAGAAATAACTGTTCCAAAAAGTAGATGATCAGTTTTGTTAATAAGGGGCAAGACATTTCAACATGTTTATATAGAAAATTTACTCGTATACGCAATGTGCAGCAGTCAAGACCCATTCGTCGCTGATTATAGAACCACCGCAAAAGTGACCCTTACGATCGAATAAGGACACTTGCCATCCGAAGTTCTCAATTTTAACACTGGTGCCGCCGACGATGCGGTCGACGACCGAATCTAAAATGAGAAATGAAAAAATATACAAGTTTGTTGGAAAATATAATTGTAATGTTTAATGTAATAAATGTTTGGGGTTTCTCTTTGTAACAATTTGTGTAAAAACAACAAGTTTGGAAACTGATAGGGCTGAATTGAAAAGTTTATTACGGATGTAAAGTGATGAGATAAATTAAATTTAAATATATAAATTAACTTTGATCATTTTGGATTTACTTAAGCCATTAATTCAAAAAATGAATATAGATCAAATTTAATTTTATAAATCACTGATGAAACAATTTGCTTATTAAATACGATTGTTTTTCTATTATTGAAGTTAACTTCTAAGCAATTACTTGCTCATTGTTTTTTCTGCTGAAAACAAATTAATAGATTAGAATTTATTGTGGACATATAAAAATGTTTATAATATTTATATTCTAAAAGTATAACTTTACTCACCTTCACCCAAGGCTGCCGCCACAAGGAAAACAACGATGAATCCACACTTCAGCATTTTGTGAAACCAACTTATTTACTGGCGATTGTTTTCTGAAAATTCCGCTATTTATTTAATGAACATAAAATAAAAATGCTTTTTGATAATTCCGCGTACTTGAGAATTGATTGTTTTCTTGATAATTAATAAGTGCTCTTACTGGTTTGAGATTGGGTTTTCAAGCATTTCCAAATACTGTGTTTTCAAGTAGACTATCTGTATTGAACTTTGAATTTTTTATACTAAAATAGAAATCACATTCTGAATTGTAATGGGCGAGCAATTAAAAATAAATCTATATAGGGGAGCTAGGGGCTATCTGTAACTGGTATAACTTACAGGCGTTTTTTAATAAAATCTTAAACCATATTAAATCATTTTTTGTTTCGATTGGACATTTAAACGGTTCTGCATAATATTGCCATAGCTACTATCCCGCAGGCTAACGCAATAAACAGAACTGTGCAGGTCTGTCATTTTTGACAGGTACAGTTTGCCTGAAGAAACAAACTTATTATAAGTATTTTGTGATAAATATATATTTTTTAGATCTTGAATTACTATGCAGGGCAACTTTATTTTCAAGTATATCCCATTTTGATTTTATTCTACAAAAAACATTCCTTGATAAACGCTTTGGTATTTTTTTATTAATTACATTTAATAAAATTGATATATTTAATCGTCTCGTTTTGACGATCACTAAGTTATCCTTTATTGGATACTAAAATATCACTACCATTATTATAATTCAAATAAAATAGTATTTAAAATACAATTCATATTTAAATTAATAGAATATTATAGTGAGAGTATAATTCTATTCAATATGTTACTATGATAAGGAAATGTTACCATGCTTTTCTCTTTATTTTTATATGCAATTCAATCTGTCTATTTCAACAGGATTCGAGTTTTACATATTGCAAATTAGTATTTTTGACTCCTTATAACTTTTAACAGTAATGCCACGAAAATTGTTACTTGAAAACATATATCTGTTGTATATTATTATCAAGTAAACGCAACGCAGGATTTTAAATCGAAATCTTGTGGTAGCAAGGTTAAAATTTTTACCACTGGATCAAGAACACCTTTAATTTTCCTTTGCATTTTTCAAAATAAAATATAGAAATACATTTTGTGCTTTATTTTCAGCAATACAAGTACAAAGTTCTAAATATTCACGCATATGATTAATAAGCAAGCAAAGTTCAAGATATGGTATAATATTTACACAGTCTTAAAATCAAGTTACTGTCTAATTAACGTCAATCTAATTATAAGATTATTATGAATGCGTAATTAAATTATTTGTAATTCTGGTAATAAAATAGTTCAAGTGTTACGTACTTGAACGTACTTGATTAATAATTCTACTTGATTAATAATTGTATAAAACCTTCACAACCTTACTAATGGATTGAATTTGGCACTTGAGATGGAATTAATCTTGAAAGATAATATTACTATTATATACTTTGAAAGTTGAACTATGAGATCTTGAAAACATTTTAAACTAGTGGGGTGCATGGCATCGTGCCTAAGGCAACGATTAACTTTAACTTCAGTATTTTTGGTTGTTCAGAAAATTTATTCGACTTCTAATTCAGTTTATTGGACTACGATATTATCCACTCTTTCCATTACAGTTTTTTGTAACTCTTTTTAATTCTCTTATACAAGCTGCACGGAGGATACTATTTGTAGTTCAAGGGTTGAGGGGTTCCAACTAAAGAATACAAGGCGTTCAATTGTAATCCATTGCGATTTGATGGTTTTA